ATAAGAAAGACAAAAAAGTCTGCATAGTGGACATTGCAATACCCGGAGACTGCAGAATAGAAGAGAGAAAACTGGAGAAAATCACTAAATACAAAGACCTGCAAATAGAAATAGAACAACTGTGGCAAAAGAAAGCAAAGATAGTACCAACAGTAAGAGGTGCCTTAGGTACAATCCCAAAACATCTGGAGCACCACTTGAACACCATCAGCATTGACAAAATCACCATCAGTCAATTGCAAAAGACAGCTTTACTTGGAACAGCTTGCATCCTGCAGCAATATCTTTAACACCATCAAACAAAACATCTGTCTATCCCAGGTCCTCGGGAAGGACTCAATGGGTGGATAAAAATGCCCAATCCAGTTTAAACATCTGGCTGACTATGCGACCAACAATAATAATTATTTATAGTCACCAAGTAAACAGGCTTTAAAAATGTATCCATTTTTGTTTAGCTCTAGATTATTCTATAGAAAAAAATGTGGTGTTGTGGTATGAACCCTGAAGTTTTTGTAGTTGGATAACTAAAGAAAGACTTTTGAAATGACATGAATGGTACCTGTCTGAATTTAGTTGGCCAGACAATATTCTTTTTGGAAATAGTTAACAGTTGGTCTGAAGGTCCTTGTGATTCTATTCTTCCAATTTTAACTCTAAGAAAAGATTGATTTGAGAATGTAACCCAGCTGATAATATCAAATCCTGCTACTAGTTCACCATTTTCATCAAAAGAAATATTTTCCCCGGTGGAATCATTAAATGACACACTTCTCAGAAATTGGTGGATCTGAAGGGAAGAAAAAAATTTTTTTTTTTAAAAAAAGTATGCCTTTGTAGTTAAATTTACACTGAACAGTTGATTTGTGGGCTTATATTATGCAAGTTAGCAATTAAGCAATAAAAAGAAAGCTTTATAACTTTACTCGTGTAATGACCTCATACTTTGGGGTGGCTAACCTGATTATGCAAGGAAGAAAGGGAAAATCTTGAAGATATGAAATGCAAAGGAGAAGGAAGAAAAGAAACATGCATGAAATCAGTACAGAGAAGAGAAGGACTTTATTTTTTCTTACCCTAGTATATGGAATTCCACAAAATACTGCATATAAATTAAATTCTCAAAATCCACCCCAAATAATAATGTTTCTTCTTGACCAAAAATTCATGGAGAATAAGGAAATAATAATAGAGAGTCATAGTTATGATACATTTAGAAATGAATTACCAAAATTCCCTTTTTTAAAAGAAATTGCTGTCTACACAGAATAAGACAGCTTTCTCTAATCAGTCTTCCTCTACATACTCCCAGGGTCTCCAGAGAGTATGGATATTCTTGATGGCAGGAGGAATGTTGAGATGTCTTAAATAGCCTGCTCTGAGTGTTACCTTCCATGGCTGAAACTTTTGTCTCCATCCATTCATAACTGGTCTCTGGCTGTCCATAGAAGACTGCATAGCGTGCAAAGCATGTGCAATGGTGTAGACAGCAATGTAGACACTGTAACTGTGAGCCGTCATCCTCATTTCAAACACAGTCATAGGGAGAGTCTCTAGCTGCTCCTTCCCAGTGCAGATGTCCTCATCCACTGTGTCACTGGTAAAACCGGGGAAGAAGCAATCAAATACCTGTTGCCAGGTCTGTGTTAGGAAACCATCATCTTTCTCCAAAGAAGGGCTCCTCACCTGAAGAAACTGATGGAATCCAGAAATATCTTTTGAAGTAATTGCCAAGGATAAAGATCCATGAAGGACATTTAAGTCCCAAGTTCTCTGCAAGGGAATGGATGTAAAATCTACATCTGCTGTCATAATCCAGACTTTGGAATACTCTGGCATTTCCTCAATTTCAGAAATTTTGAGCAAAATCCTCAAATTTAGGATACTCTGAAATTTGCCATGAAAGATCACAGCATTAGATATACGGGTCAAGAGAAAACATAACAGTTCATGAACTGCTTCTTCTACTTCACCAGTCTCACTGAGGACCCTACCAGCCAATTCTCGTATGAAATCAAAGCAGATACCCTTCTTGGAAAGCATGGGAAGCACATTCCTTAAAAGCATCTCTGTTGAACTGCCAATATCGAGATATATCACCCCAATCCAGGTCCACCCAAAATATAGCAAAAGATGGAGAATCCCTCTGTACTGATGAATTGTGTTTGGGAACATCCAGTGGAAGAAAACCGGTTGGGTTTGAGTATCCAGCTGTGGAGCAGAGGTGTATGCAAGCTAAAGGAAAGGAAGGGAAGGGAAGGAAGGAGGGAAGAGTTATTTCCACAGCATATGATTCTGTTTCTACAGTCGTATTCTCAGAACAGTGTAACCTCTGTTTCTTCATCAAGCAAGATTGACCAGTTGAGAGTACTGTTCTAGCTGGAATGTTCATATAAGCATTTCTGAGTAGTCATTTTCCACAACAAAAATAAGAGCAGCATACCTAAACATAATAGTGGCACTGGGTTTCTCTTTAAACCTCTCCCCTTTCCATGAAAGCCACTTACTTGTGCAGTTTTGTAGTTAGTCAGGATAGCTGCCATATTCAGGAATTCGTTAGAGCTCGGCCCCCCAATGACAGCCACCAATTTGTTCTGAAGGTCACACTTATAGTTAGGGATGAATCTGTTTGGTGTAGAGATCAGTTCCATTGTGGCTGCGTAGGTATGTCTTGGAGTGAAATAATTGTTGTAGATCTTGAAGCCTAGGGTGACGTTGGTTAAGATCTGGGGATTTCCATTAATCTCCTTTACAGCAAACACCAAAGCTAAGACGTGTTGGTAGGCCTGGCTCAGTAAACTACAGTGAAATTGAAAAATGACAAACAGACTTCACTTCCTTCAGAAGAAATAGAACATTTCAATCCAACATATGTTTGCTAACATCATCTATTGAAATAAAATATGGAAGGGGATGAGAATAAGGAATAATTGATTCAACACAATGCAATAATTGTTATGTCTATGGTAACAGCAGATAGATCCACACACTGACATTATGTATGCAAGCGCACACTTTTCCATTCTCTTTCTCTCTCTCTCAAGACATCCACAAACAGCTCTATCCATTTATTTATCAATGAAAAGGGTTAAGAACTACAAGCCATTTTTGACCCATACGTTTAGCAGATTTGGTTAAGAACTTCTTGATGACCAAGAGAGTATGCTGTGATAAGCAAACAAATTACTCTGCTTCCTCCCTTCCCTCCCTCCCTCCCTGGTATATTCATATGCATAGAAAATATATTCTGTGTTCTGTTAGATTAAATATTAAAGTCTATGAAGCTCATAGTTCAGTCCTGTGACTCAGGAGTGGAGAGAGAGAATAAAAACCAGACAACTATCTTTCCTTTTAAGTGTGAAAGGAATGGTGTGAAAGGATGTGAATACAATCAACAGTGTTGTTTATTGTACACACTGATATTATCTAGAAGGCTCAGATTCTACTGGTGTGAAAAGTATCATGGCAGTCATCCCATTAGTTTATCTAGCATGAGCATTCCCATATAAGGATTATAATTTGTTTATAATTCATTTATTGTATTTATTTATCCAGTTTATACAGATGCCCATGTCAGTGAGTGACTGGGCAGTGACAAGAATTAAAATAAAATAAAAACAATTAAAAACATATAAAAGTTAAAATACAAGCAGCCAAGAAACAACAATCCAGTTCACTAACCCCAAGAATAATATTCCTTTGATCTATTCTTTGTAGTGTGATAAAGCAAAATTATTTAATCTGTAGAGTAGTTTCATTCAGGGCTCTCTCTCCAGCTGTTTGTTGGCAAGGAGCCCAGTGATCGCTATAGCCCATTCCAATAGCAGTATACTTTGTTGCATCTATTTCCAGTTGTTTTGGTTTTTTATTTAAAGTGAGTATTTTTCTCACAAC